ACCATACTCACTTCTTGCCCTGGGACCTTTTGAGGACGAGCAGGACGATTTTCTTGATGACCAGGATAAGGATGAGGAGGCCGACGACCCCGCCCACCACGGCCAGGATGATGAGCGTCAGGGTGTTGTCCACGGGCACCACTGCAGGAGAGAGGCCCAGAGGAGCGGTGAGGGGCAGCCGGGCGGGAGAGTCCCACCCGCACGGTGCCTCTGGTCCTGAGCCGGGGGGCAGCCCCCAGAGATGGCGCCTACTCGTCGGACCCCACAGCCCCGGCCACCCCGCAGCTGCAGGGCCCCTCCGCATCCTCCACCTCATCTCGAACACCCACCGGCCTCACTGTCCCTGCTGCTGCCAGACCTCCCTCCATAGCACGGCCCGTGGCTCCGCTTGACTGCCAGCCACGGAGGGAGCTTGGCGAGTGGACGCCCCGCTGGAGGCCCCTGCCTTTATGCCAGCTCTCCTTGCCTCGGGGGACTGTAGGTCTCAGGGGTGCTCAGTGGGAGAGGCCCAAAACAAATCCAGGGAGCTACAAGCCAGGGCCCACTCTGAGAGGTCGGCCGCCTTCTCGGGGGGTCAGTGGAAAGTCCCCCCAGCCCAGGTCCTCTCCTGAACAGACGGCTCTCCGGGGACTCCGTTCTGAGGCGGGCAGCCTGTGCCCAGTCCGCCATGCCAGACTACAAGTGTTGGGAGCAGACTCCACTCTCCTGTGCCCCTGGAAACCCGACTGAGCTCAGGAGCCGAGTCCCGGCCCAGAGGGCTCCCCGGGGCAGACACTCACTCTCGGGGACCACCCTGAGGGTGATGGTGGCGTTGTGCTCCGCGCCCTTCTCCTTGGGGTTCCTGACGTGGCAGGTGTACTTCCCGGCATCGCTGAAGTCCACGAACATGGAGATGGAGATGTTGTTTTCCTTCCCAGTGGTCGTGCCGATTAGCTGGACCCGAGGGTCACTATATACAATCTTCGGCTCGGATGCCTTGTTCTTGATCTTCCCGCGATAGATCTGCAGGGGTGGGCGGGGGAGTGCACCAGGACACTGAGCAAGCGACCAGCCTGGCCAGCCTGCACGCTCAACAAGCCCCAGAGAGCTCTGCCGGCTGCATCAGACACAGCCCAGGGTGGCAGGGCACAGGCTGAGGGCTGGGGCCAATGTTCCCTCTAATCTTTTCCAGCCATGTGCAGAATAACTTTTTTATGTGCACTGAAGTACGTGTGAACGTGCACCACCTGCAGAACCAGACCTAGCTGTGGGTGCTCTGCTACTCAGCTGGGCAGCACTGGAATCACAAGCGCCCGGCGTACAGGGCACCCTGCCTGGGGCCCATCTTCATGATAATCGGCAGCCGCGCGCCCACGCCAGGGACAAGCCGGCTGTGCCAGTGCCAGTGCCATGCAGATGGAGCTCTGGCCCCACTACAAGTGGACAAAACTCTCTTGGGACCCCCCTTTGCTTCCCCAGGGTTTTGTCTCCTCCAGCCGGGGGAGAACCCAAAGCCAGTTACTCCCCCCAGCACGCCCCTCCCCACCCCAAGCAGCGCAGCAGCCAGCCACAGGGACCCCCAGGGAATGAGCAGAGCGGAGGCAGAACAGAACTGTGCTCCATGCACCGTCCCCTTCCTGGCTCTCCAGCCCCGGGCCCTCCCCAACTGCACAGGGCCAAAGGCGGGGGTGGGGGATGGCTCCTCTCCTAGTTAAGCCAGGGTCACATGAAATGACAACTTTGTTCAGCTCCTGCTGGGCCCCGGAACCTTCTCCTCCCTTATCTCTGCCCCCTCCCGAAAGGGGAAAGCAGCTGAATGGGGCAAATAAGGGCAGGACAGGCCACAGGCTACCCGGGAAGCAGCAGGCCGGTCTCACTTGCCAGGTGGCTGCATCGGCCGGAATCCACTTTCCACCCTAGGAATCCGGGGGCTGCAGCCAGCAGCAAGAGCACCGGCCCAGGCACACGCGGCCAGAGGGCAGCTTCGTGCTGGCCCAGGCTGGAGGGGCAGGGCAGCTGGGCTGGCCGGCAGAAGCCCTACCTCACTCTGGCAAGCGGGGGAGAAGGTGGCCCTGCTCGGAGCCCCTGGCTCTTGGGCGTCAGGGTGAGCACGAGAAGGGGCCTGTGGAGCTGGAAAATTCACTGGGCTTCGCTCCATGCGCGGCGTGAAACGGGACACGGTTGAGCCCAAGGGGTGTGTTTA